CCTCAACCCAGTGAGCCACCCAGGCGCCCCTACCATATGTATTCTTGATAAAAACCTTCAACAAATTAGGGATAGAGAGAACATACCTTAACACCATAAAGGCCTATATGTAGGATCCAGCGCTATTATCATCCTCAATGGGGAAAAAAACAAGGATTTTCCTCTAAGGTCAGGAACAAGATAAGGGATGTCCACTCTCACCATTGTTACTCAACACGGTACTAAAAGTCCTAGCCTCAGCAATCAGACAACAAAAAGAAATAAAAGGCATCCATAATGGCAAGGAAGAAGTCAAACTTTCACTATTTGCAGATGACATGATACTCTATGTAGAAAACCTGAAAGACTCCACAAAAAAAATGCTAGAACTGATACATGAATTCAACAAAGTTGCATGTTACAAAATCAATGTACATAAATCAGCTGCATTTCTACACACTAATAATGAAGCTGCAGAAAGAGATGAAGGAATCAATCCAATTTACAATTGTACCAGAACCCATAAGATACCTAGGAATAAACTTATCCAAAGAGGTAAAAGATCAGTACTCCGAACAAACTATAGCATACTTATAAAAGAAATTGAAGAAGACACAAAGAAATGGTAAAACATTCCATGTTCATGGATTGAAAGGAGAAATGTTTTTTAAATGTCTATACCACCCAAAGTGATCTACACATTCAGTGCAATCCCATCAAAATATCACCAGCATTTTTAACAGAGCTAAAACAAACAATCCTAAAATTTGTATGGAACCACAGAAGACCCCAAATAGCCAAAGCATCTTGAGAAAGAAAAGAAAAACAATTCCAGACTTTAAGTTATATTACAAAGCTGTAGTCATCAAGACAGTATGGTATTGACACAAAAACAGACACATAGACGAATGGAACAGATTAGAAAACCCAGAAATGGACCCACAACTCCATGGTCAACAAAGCAGGAAAGAATATCCAATGGGAAAAAGACAGTCTCCTCAACAAATGGTATTGGGAAAACTGGACAGCCACATGCAGAAGAATGAAAATGTACCACTTTGTAACACCATACACAAAAATAAATTCAAAATGTATGAAAGACCTAAATGTGAGACAGGAGACAATCAAAATCCTAGAAGAGAACAAAGCAGCAACCTCTTTGACATTGGCTGTAGCAACTTCTTGCTAGACACATCACCAGAGGCAAGGGAAACAAAAGCAAAAATGAACTACTGGGACTTTTTCAAAATAAAAAATTTCTGTATTATGAAGGAAACAATCAACAAAACTAAAAAACAAACTAAGGAATGGGGGAAAGTATTTGAAAATGACATATCTGATAAAGGGTTAGTATCCAAAATATATAAAGAACTTATAAAACTCAACACCCTAATAACAAATAATCCAGTTAAAAAATGGGTAGAAGACATAAATAGACATTTTTTCAAAGACAAAAACACGGCCAACCAACACATGAAAACATGCTTAACATCACTCATCATCAGGGAAATGCAAATCAAAACTATAATGATATATCACCCCACACCTATCAGAATGGCTAAAATTAACAACACAAAAAATAACAAGTGTTGGCAAGAATGTGGGGAAAGGGGAACCCTTGTACACTGTTGATGGGAATGCAAACTGGTGCAGTCACTCTGGAAAACAGTATGGAGATTCCTCAAAAAGTTAAAAATGAAGTATCCTTTGACTCAGCAATTGCACTGATAGGTATTTACCCAGAGAATACAGAAATACTGATTTGAAGGAACACATGCATTCCGATGTTTATAGAAGCATTATCAACAATAACCAAATTATGGTAAGATCCCAAATGTCCAACAACTGAATGGGTAAAGAAGAGGTATACATACATACGTATATATATGTATATAATATAACAGAATATATATATATATTCCATCATATATATATATATGTATATATATATATATATATACTCCATTATATATATACTCCATTTTATATATATATAAAATGGAGTATTACTCAGCCATTAAAAAGAATGAAATCTTGTTATTTGCAATGACATGGATAGAACTAGAGAGTATTATGTTAAGTGAAATAAGTCAGTCAGAGAAAGACAAATACCATATGATTTCACTCACATGTGGAATTTAAGATACAAAACAGATGAACGTAGAAGTAGGAGGGGAAAAGAGAGGGAGGCAAGCCTTAAGAACTCTTAACTACAGAGAACAGTTGATGGAGGGGAGGTGGACAGGGAATGGGCTAAATTAGTGATGATGATTAAGGAGGGCACTTGTGAGAAGCACTGGGTGTTGCATGTAAGTGATGAATCACTAAATTCTACTCCTGAAACCCATTTACACTGTACGTTAACTAAATAGAATTTAAATAATAACTTGAAACAAAAATGGAAACATAACATAGCAAAAATTTATGGAATGCAGTAAAAGCAGTTCTAAGAGCGTTTACATGCCTACTCTATAAAAGGAGAAAGATCATAAATAAATTATGTAAGTTTAAACCTCAAAGAAGCAGAAGTTCTCAAAGTTAGCAGAAGAAAAAAAAATGATGAAAATCAGAGCAAAAGTAAATAAAATAGAAAACAGAAAAACTAGAGAAGAGGTTAACAAAGTAGCTGGTTGCTTGAAATGATAAACCCGACAAACACCAAGACAGAAAGACCTCAAATACAGTTAGAAAAGAAAGGGAAGACATTATAAATTGTAACACAGCAAAACGAAGGATTATAAAAGCCTATTAATATATAATTATTTGTCAACCAATTGGACAACTTAGAATATATCTATTCCTAGAAGAGTACTACTTACCAAGACTGGATCATGCAGAAACAGAAAACCTGAACAGACCAATAATGAATGAGGCTGAATAAGTAATAAAACCTCTCAACAAAGAAAAACCTAGTTTTTGCTGATGAATTCTGCCAAACACTTAAAGAAGCAGTAATGGTAATATTTCTCAAACTCATCCAAAATTTTGAAAAGGAGGAATACACTCAAGCTCAGGTCAGCATTATCCTGATACAAAAGCCAGATAAGGATATTGTAAGAAAGCAACAGACCAAAGCCCTGATGAATATGGACGCAAAAATTCTCAACCAAATGCTAGCAAACTAAATTCAACATCAAATTAAAAGGACCATACACCGCGTTCAAGTGGGATTTATTCCCGGGATGCAAGAATGGTTCATCTGCAAATCAATCAATGTGATAAACCCCATTCACAGAATGAAAGATAAAACCATATGATCATCTCAATAGATGCAGAAAGAGTATTTGACAAACTTCAGTAATTTTCATGATAAAAACTCTCAACAAAGCAGGTATAGAGGGAACATACCTCAACGTAATAAAGATTATACATGACAAACCCTCAGCTAATGTTGCATTTAATAGTGAAAGGTTGAAAGGATTTCCTCTAAGATCAGGAGCAAGAGACTCTGACCACTTCTGTTCACAGCAGTACTGGAAATCCTATCCACAGCAATTATGCAAGAAAAAGAAATAAAAGGCACCCAAATAAGAAAGGAAGAAGTAAAACTGTCTCTGAAGATGGCATTATCTTCATATATAGAAAACCCTAAAGATTCGACAAAAAAAACCCTGTTAAAATTAATAAATGCTTTCAGTAAAACGGCAGGATACAAAAATCACCTAGAAAACCCAGTCACGTTGCCATATGCTAAGAATGAATTATCTGAAAAAGAAATAAAGAAAACATTCCCATTTATAACAGCATTAAAAACAATACAATATTTAGGGATAAATACAACCAAGGAGATGAAATATCTAGAGACTGAAAACTGTAAGATATTGATGAAAGAAATTGAAGAAGACACATAAACAGAGAGCTGTCTCATATTCATAGGGAGGAATAATTAATATTGTTAACATGTCCATATTACCCCAAACCATCTACAGATTCAGTGTAATTCCTACCAAGATTCCAATGGCATGTTTTACAGGAATAGAAAAAAAATCCTAAAATTCACATGAAACCAGAAAATACCCCAAATAACCAAAACAATCTTGAGAAAAATTAAAACTGGAGGTATCACAACTCTTAGTTCCAGATTGTATTAATACAAGACTATACTAATAGAAACAGTGTGGTACTGGCATTAAAACAGACATAAAGACTAATGGAAAAGAACTGAGAGCCCAGAGAAAATGCATGCATATATGGTCAATTTATATTTGAAAAAGAATGGTGTATATATATATGGTTTATATATACAATGGAATATTAAGCCACAAAAAGAAGGAAATCCTGACATTTGCAACAATGTAGATGGACCTGGAAGTCATTATGTTATGTGAAATAAGTCAGAGGAAAAAAAAATTCTGTATGACTGCACATATGTGTGTTATCTAAAAAAAAAACACCCCTGAAATCATAGGAACAGAGAATAGACTGATGGTCGTTGCTAGAAGTGGAGAGATGGGGGAAATGGTGAATGGACACAAAGTTCCAGTTATAAATAACTCACAGAGATATAATGTACAATGTGGTGACTATACTTAACAATACTGTATTGTATATTTGAAAGTTGCTAAGAGGGTAAGTCTTAAAAATTTTCTCCACACTACAAAAAGGTAAGTAACTAAGTAAAGTGATGGATGTGTAACTAACCCTATTTGGTAATCATATATGTATACGTGCGTGTGTGTGTGCGCACGCACACGCGCTCATGTGTATAAAATTGTCACATTATACATCTTAAATTTACTCAATGGTACTTGTCAGTTATATCTCAAAGTGGGAGGGGGAAAAAACTTCCAAAGACTTGTGTCCATGTGACACATGGAAAAATTATCTTTCTTCCCTGGATGTTAGGTAGGCTGATTATCAGTCCCTGGTTTGGCCCTCTCTCAAGCCACAGTTACACACTTTCAATTACCCAACGAACATCTAAGAGAATCAGAATGTGTGTGTGTGTGTGTGTGTGTGTGTGTGTACACATAGAGGACTGAGTTCACGGAGTACTCAAAAATGAACTCAGCAGTACTCACCGGAGAGCCCATTAGACCTGTCCTACCCAAGGGTCCTGAAGCCCCTGGTAAGCCTGTCTCTCCTTTTTCTCCATCTTCTCCAGGAAGACCCCTTCCTCCTGGGTTCCCCTGAAACCCAGTAAAAAATTTTAAGAAAAGGAAAGCAGTAAAATAAGTATACCACACAGTAAACAGATTTTTGTTTGTAACATAAAATCATTTAATTATGTAATATTTTGAAAATTTCACAAGAAATATCTACATACACATAATGAGAAAAGTATGATTTACCTTTAAGCCATCTTTCCCTTGGAGACCTTCTTCTCCGGGAGCTCCTGGTTCACCCTATTTTTTAGCAAAAACAGTAAGATTTATTATTTTGCTAAATTGCTGCCTTAGCTTACTCTTTGCTCCTGGTATCTATAGAAAGTATCAGGTTTCTGCACATTTACTCCTACTTCTACTTTATTTATAAGGAATATTTGGGAGTATAATAAGCTTGATATAATTTGCTTGGAATAGCTCTGAAGATGATTTAAAGAATCAATATTGTAAATTCAAATATAAGATAGGCCCAGAATTTTAACTTTCAGATAATTAAGAGAAACACATAAACACAAATTTATATAGCTAGATCTGTGTTTCCTGAGTTCAAGGACTAGAAATACTGTATCTCTTAAAGTTGTAGTATCTTGCTATACTCAATTAAATGGGTTAATATGACTTAATTCAGTTAAAACCATACTTTTAGGGTCTGTATTTTCTCGCTTACAAGGGAACAGTTAAGGCCCTGGTACATCAAAAAGCTGTCCTCCAGATATAGCACTTAACAGAAAAATACAGCCATTGTCTTTGAAGATATTAAAGTAATACTGACACTCTTGTTACCTAAAATATTTAAAAGTGAGTTAATTAGTGCATCTTCACAGTTTCTCTGTTGCTCCCACCATTGACACTTCCACTACCCCAACCTCACACTGCCAACCCCCCTGCAAATAAAGGGAAAATGAAAAAGAAACTGGATATAAAACAGGTCTCCCAACTTTGCCTTTTAGTATGCAAATGTCTCTTAAGATTATCTTGGGCATGGTTATCTTGGGAAAAAGCTTACCACAGCTCAAATTACAAGCTGTCTATATTAGAATAACTTCTGTAAACTCTCTAATTATACTTATTTACAATTATTTCCTTGAATCTTGTTAACTTTTCGTGACTTTAGATTTTTGTTGTTGTTTTTTCAAACACAAATCAGGTTGTAATCATTTGTTTGCTTTGTTAGGTCAGGAAATATCCTGAGAGTTGATTACTGGTATTTGTGAATTTCTTCCTAATGTGAATATGAGTGACAATCACAGCTACTCTGCATATGTGTAAAGCATTCTACAGAGAACTCTCCACACTGAGAAAAGGATGCATGAGCTTAGGACTCCAAATACTACTAAATGACCATGTGAACAGGGTCTGGTATTCAGCTTTTAAAACTAAGAAATAAAGACAAACGTTTTCTATTAGGCACCAGAAAGATTTATTATGCATTTTTGAAGCTTTATTTATGCTATGTTTCAAGTCTCTGAACCACTCAGAGTGCATTAAAATGGTTCTCAGGGTACCTGGGTGGCTCAGTTGGTTAGGCAATTGCCATTGGCTCAGGTCATGATCCTGGAGTCCCATATCGGGCTTCCTGCTCCGCGGGGACTCTGCTTCTCCCTCTGACCTCTCCCCTTTCAGGATCACTCTCTCTCTCTCAAATAAATAAATAAATAAATAAAATCTTTTTAAAAAATAAAATAAAATAAAATGGTTCCCAGCAGACATTTACCCGTAACCCTGGTTCTCCAGCAACTCCAGCATTGCCTGCATGTCCAACATTTCCCTAAAGAAACAAAGGGAAAGATTAAAATCATTTTCTACTAAAACAGTATATCTAATAATTATGGAAGGTGTATCATAAGGATAGGGCTTTCAAAACACTTCCCATTTTTTTCTTTTCCCCAGATTAATTTACACCCCATTAGCTTTATCATTTTTATTTCCTTTCTTTCTCTTATACAAACATACACATGGAGTCAGTGTAAAGATAGATACATAGCTATAGATATACATATTTATTTTCTGACTCATTTGAAAACACTTTCCATTTTTATCTGCTATCCTCACTTGTTTTCAAGATGATTGATATTTGCCAAAATGTGGCAAACAGGGGATTCAGTGGTAAAAATTGAGAGACCTTTTCACTATTTAGGAAGGTTACCTTTGCACCTGGTTCGCCTTGCAGACCAGATTCACCCTCAATACCTGAAGGTCCCTAGAAGAGAATGATTTGACACATCATTTGTTATACATTCCTTCACCGATTGCAAAGGCAATAACAACCTCGCAAGAAGATCATAGTAATTTTTAGCCCAAGGGTGAGATATATGTCCAGGAAAATATTTTTGCTTCCACTTTATAAACTTGATGGCATAAGACCAGATAATGTTGGGACATTTTAACAGTTCAAATGCCAAAATAACACCTCCTGAAGTCAGGACTTTTAAGAACAATTTCTTCTATTCTTCCTGTCATCCTTCAATCCTTGGTCAAAGACAAACACTTCCCATTTCCTCTTCTAATTTCCTACCCTCATACTCTTACTATTCTCAGTGTTTTTTTACCTTTCACCCTTATCCATTTCTGTTGAGCCCTCTGGAGCACACTTTCTTTAAAATTTTCATTTTTCATTTTATGATGAAAGATTTAAGATACAAAGATGATATGAATATATTCACATTATGAAAAATGCATATGGCAGCTTTTCCACTTCCTTTTGTGGGTGGGTCCAGTTGGGGAGAATTTGGTTCTTTATATCTTGAAAACATACAACTTCTTGCAACCTCTGGCTCTCTCTAGGCCTGGTGCTCCTACAACTGCTGTTGTATTTTTTTTTTATTTGTTTGTTTCAGAGATATTTATCTTGTTTTTGAGCGCACTAAGGGTATACTTTCCCTCTTCCTTTCCTCATTCCTCGTTCTTCTTTCTCTTTGACTGTACCTACGTATGTATGTATATATATAACTATAAAAACACATGTATTCTGTAATTCCCATGTTTTTGGAGTAGAGGGGTAGCTGAAAGTATTAACTCACAACACACTCTTGACAAAAAGCTTCCTGTTGTCCTTCTATCTTTCAGAGATTCCTTAGTAGTTCTGACTCGTGGGTGATATTCCTCCTTATAACTATGAGAGTTTAAAATATCTTTTATGTAATAGTATTTTAGATAAGAGGAAGTTCAGTTTTCCATTTTTGACTCAGCTTCTGCAATACATATTCACCTCGCTTTTTTTCTAAAATAAAAGCTATACATGCAAAACAGTACCGATGGGAATTATAATGAAAAGCCCAGTCCCATTCCTCAGAGGCAACAACTTTATTTATTTTTTTATTTGTATTTTTTTAAAGATTTTACTTATTTGTTAGAGAGAGAGAGAGAACACAAGTAAGGGGGAGAGACAGAGGGAGAAGCAGACTCCCTGCTGAGCAGGGAGCCTGCCCTGGGGCCCTATCGCAGGACCCTGGGATCATGACCTGACCTGAAGGCAGATGCTTAACCAGCTGAACCATCCAGGTGCCCCAGAGGCACCTAACTACTTTATAAAACAATTTTTGTTTTCCTAGTGGTTATTTCTATAACTCAAAAATTATACCTCTACTTCTCAACGTATCACCTTGCTAAAGGTTAATTTCCTTATTCTCCCTCCATTTTACCATCATTTCACAATATTTTAATAGTCACATTATTTAAATTCTTCTGTGGGTTAGTTTTGTGACTTCTTTGCTGTTACAAGAGATAGTATAGTACAGTACTTAAGAGGAAAAATTATGAACTGAGATGGCCTGGGTTTCTGCTCTGCCTCAGAAATGATAGAATTTAATATCCTACTTTAAGATTAATATTCTGTCCTGAGAGAGAATCCCAGCTCTCTTAGAATTTCTTCCATATTAAAATTGCTTTCAATGTCACAGATTTTCTTTGGTTCCTAATTTCTCCCAACCTGTCAGCTCTTCCTGGCTTCTTTTATTCCTTTCTTAAACTAACTCTAATTGTTGATCTTCTGAACTCAGCTGTTCCTTTTCTTAATCTTGGATTAGCACTTTAAATTATCTCCATTTCTATTTCCAGCTGAATACTGCTAGAAAAAAAATTATACACTAGTGCAAAGTGGCATCATCACCTGTTGAGAGGCATAGTGGCCAAGACAAAGGATTGTAGAGAGAGAATCCCTGAACTGAAATGTAGGCTGTACCACTATTACTAACTATCACTCTTCAGCAAGTGAGTTACTTAACCATTTCATGCCTTTGTTTCCTCATCTGTAAAATGAAAATAATAGCTGCATCTATCTCATAGGGAGTTGTAAGAATCCATTAATACAGCGAAACACATAAATAGTGCTAGGCACATAGAAAGTGCCTCATAATTGTGGGCTATTGGCATCATTATTATCAATATAATGCGAATTCATTGCCTCCTGCTAAAAGCTTGACTTTTAGTAAGGTGTATCTGCTCTTCCGCTTGTCTATAGTCATTCCCTCCCCTATTATCTTCAAGCACTGTTCTAAACCAGTGAATTTTCCTTGACTGACCTACTCAACCTCTACTCCTTATCACAACAGAATTTTTGTCTCTTACTCAGTTAAAAAAAAAAAACACCTTCTAGTTATTAGGTATGACTTTTCTCAGCTTTCTTTAGTCTCAGAGGATGTGGCACAGAATAGGTTATCAGCATCAGCTTTTGTGTCAGTTGTGGATTCAAAAGCCAGTCTCTCTTACTTCTTAACCATTTACCTTGGGCAGATTAACAGCTGATGACCCCCATCTCCCTAATATTCCTCTTTGGTCTCATGAAAGGTATTGTCATCCATCCTGTTGCACAGCCTAGAAAACTGGGAATAATTTTTGACTTCCCTTTCCACTTTACATCACATATTCTATACGTATGAAGGTTCTGCAGAATTTATATAAAAAACATTTCTCAAATCCATCCACTTCTCTCCCTTTCTGTCCCTGCTACTTTCATTCAGAAGTCCATCATTTTTTTGCCTGGTTGAATGCAATGGTCCTTTAGTAGGTATTCATGGTTTCACTCCTGTCCTTTCAAATACATTCTCTATGTAGCTGTTAGAGCTATCCTATCGTCCAAAAATTAAATCCGACTTTTTCACTGTCCTGTTTATCATATCTTACAATGACTTAATATGGCCCATAAGATTAAAAAAAAAAATGAAGCTTCTGAACAGAGTACACAAAGCTTTTCATACTTTTTCTATACTTTCGTCTACTACCACACCTTGCTTTGACTTTCAAAGAATCCATATTGCCTCATGTTTGTATGTTCTTGCTTATACTATTCCTTTTTCTGGAATTTCCTTATCTTTATTACTCTTTTCATATGGCTAACTCCTACTCATTCCTTAAAACTCATCTGGTCACCATCCCACATTCCCCACAAGTTTTCTTTTTCCTTGTATCCAGGTGATGTTAAATGCTCATTGCCATGTTCCTATGCTGACCTGGGACTATCTGCATCACTGGGTCTAATACATTGCAATGTAATAATCTTTTATATGACTATCTTCTGGAATAGATTAGAAACTCCTACAGGAGTCAGGGACCATATATCAGCCTTCCTTGTATCACCTACCAGTGGCTACAAAGTGCACAGCAAGAAACATGGCATCATCATGGAATTAAAAATAGGCCAACAAACCTGGACCACAGAGGGGAGGAGAAGAGCTTTACTGGCAGGTGGCTTAATGGTCTGCATAAGTCAGATAATATGGAACATTATTTATCATGTTAAAAGGTTGGCATTTTACTAAAGGTCATGAAAGCCACGGAAAAATTCCAAGGAGAGGAATGATATGACAAAGAGGAACTGGCAGCAATTAGCTAAGGAATGATGGAAGTTGCTGGAGACCTGCAGTAAGAGCAGACTAGAGCACTGGCAATAGGGATGAAAAAGAAAGGGTAAAACAGAGACACCGTGGGGGCTCATTCAGAGGGAAATGATGGCTGACTGGAGAAAATAAGTAGGAAGAGGAGTCTAGGAAGACTCAGTTTTGGGCTGTTGGGCACAAGGAGTATCTTTCAATGAGATGGGAATAAAAAGAGAAAGAACACCGGGAAAGTGATGGGTTTGGTTTAGATATTTTGAATTTAAGATGTATGTGGGCTATGTAGGTGCATATGTAAAATACAACAGGGAATCAGTAACTGCAGCTGAAGAGACAGGCATGAGTTAGAGCCATCAAGATGAGAGCTCTAAGAATAATATTGGTAATTAGAGTCATTGTGATACTATGACTGCTAGGCTGAGAAAGAAGGACAGCTTCACATCAAGAGTGAGAAAGGCTAATGAGAAGGTGAAGAGCAGAATCAAAAGACAGCAGTTTTACAAAAGTCAAAAGAGGAAAGAATTTAAGTCTAATTTATTTAGAGCTAAAGTAAACAAACAACAGAAATGAAGGAACTGGATTTTATAATTATAATGAGTATAGTTTATTATTCCAAAAAATGTCCTAAATAGGGTCATTTTTTTTTTTTGGAAGATTTATTTATTTAAGAGAGAGTGTGTGAGTGGAGGGAGGTGGAGAGAGATAATCTTCAAGCTGACTCCCTGCTGAGCACAGAGCCTGACTGAGGGGTTCAATCCCAGGACCCAGAGATCATGACCTGAGTGGAAATCAAGAGTTGGACACTTAACAAACTGAGCCACCCAGGCAGCCCAGGGGTCACTTCTTAATATTCTTCTATAAAGGAGATATAACATCTTAGAATGAAGGGTTATCAAATTAACTCAGAGAGTGAAGGGTAAGTTTTATTCACTTTTTGTTGTCATTCCAATGGGCTGTTATGAGAACTTTATGTGGATGGGCAGTAACCTCCTTGACAGGCTATAGCAACCATGCAAATATGTCTACTGAGGCAAGGGAAACAGAAGCAAAAATAAACTACTGGGACTTCATCAAAATAAAAAGCTTCTGCACAGTAAAGGGAACAATCAACAAAACTAAAAGGCAACCTAAGGAATGGGTGAAGATATTTGCAAATGACATATCTGATAAAGGGTTAGTATCCAAAATATATACAGAATTTACAAAACTTAACACCCCAAAACCAAACAACCCAGTTTAAAAAATGGGCAGAAGACATGAATAGACATTTTTCCAAGGAAGACATACAGATGGCCCACACACATGAAAAGATGCTCAACATCACTTATCAGGGAAATACAAATCAAAACTACAATGACACATCACTTCACACCAGTCAGAATGGCAAATTAATAACACAAGAAACAACAGATGTTGGTGAGGATACAGAGAAAGTAGAACCCTCATATACTGTTGGTGGGAATGCAAACTGATACAGTCACTCTGGAAGACAGCATGGAGTTTCCTCAAAAAGTTAAAAACAGAACTACCCTACCATCCAGCATTTGCACTGCTAGGTATTTATCCAAAGAATAAAGAAAAACTAATTCAAAGGGATACGTGCACTCCAAAGTTTATAGCAGCAATATCAACAAATAGCCAAATTATGAAAAGAGCCCAAATGTCCATCGAGTGGTGAATGGGTAAAGAAGATATGGTGTATATACAGTGGAACATTTCTCAGCCATCCAAATGAATGAAATCTTGCCATTTGCAACGATGTGGATGGAGCTAGAGAGTATTACGCTAAGCAAAATAAGTCAGAGAAAGACACCATATGATTTCACTTATATGTGCAATTTAAGAAACAAAACAAATGTTCACAGGAGAAAATAAGGAGAGGAAAACCAAAAAACAGAGTTTTAACTATAGAAAACAAACTGATGGTTACCTAAGGGGAGGTGGGTGAGGGAATGGGTTAAATAGGTGATGGGATTCAGGAGTGCATTTGTGGTGATGAGTACTGGGTGTTGTATGTAAGTGCTAAAGCACTAAATTGTACACCAGAGACTAATTTTTTTTAAAAAAATTTTATTTATTTGACAGACAGAGATCACAAGTAGGCAGAGAGGCAGGCAGAGAGAGAAGAGGAAGCAGGCTCCCCGCTGAGCAGACAGCCCGATGCGGGGGCTCGATCCCAAGACTGGGCTCATGGAAGGCAGAGGCTTTAACCCACTGAGCCACCCAGGGGCCCCCACCAGAGACTAATCTTATACTGTATATCAACTAACTGGAATTTAAATAAAAACTTAAAAAGGATAACTTCATGTGTATAAAATTATATTCATAAAACAGTCATCCCTATTTTTTAATGGAATTTTAGGCTGTATTTTCTGAATATGAAACATAACACTACAGAATTATTCTTTAAATATATACCTAATGTATCAACTTTACCTTGAGGACTCTTACAAAAAGTACTGGGAACTGATGAAACAACAAAGAAGAGCCACAAAAAAAAAAATTACCTCAGCACCCATTTCTCCAGGAGGTCCAGCATCACCTTGCAATCCTCGTGGTCCCTACATTAAAATAAAATTTAAGATCTGAGAATCAAAGTTTACTCTGTATTTTGATTAACATATGCATCAAAATATGGGATTTTAAATATATAATATGTAATAGAACACATTTATGAACTTTTTGTATAAACAAAATTATAACTTTATAGTTGATTCATCTGTTGTGTGTGTGTGTGTGTGTGTGTGAATAGAAGGCTATGTTTGAATTCAAGAGAAAAGAAAGGACAGTACCCTTCATACTTTCATTCTCTAATTCACTCATCCATTCAATAAACATTTATTAAGCACCTAAGTTACTATTATATTTCATACTATATATTATATATATTATATCATACTAAGAGCTCTCAAAAGTTATCTTATTTGATGGATATGACAATTATATTTCTACTGGATATTTGTGGCAAAAATGTGACAAAATAGCATTTTTAAAGAAGCAAATACATGGTCTCCAATGAAATAAAAATACGTTAGAGTTGCATGATGTCATACTTTATCATGGTAGTGAATCCAGTTCAACAATTTCTCTGTTTCACATGAACAGATATAACAATGTTTACTAATATGAAATAATCACTGAGGTGCAATTAAAAATCCATGTTTGGACCTTTATTGGAATCCCGGTTACTGTAATACTGAATAGTGTAACTTTAAGTAAACAAACATTGAGTATTTAGTTTATTGCATAAACATTAAATTTCTAAACCAAACAGATCTTCTTAGTGTGTAGAAGCCACTTAACTGGCTAGAACTATTATTTTACCATTAACATCTATGTAGTTTTTCATTTAATTTTTTTATATATTGTTAAAGATAAACTTTTCCCCCTAAATATGATCACTGTAGAATACCTGGAAACTCATAAAGTAAAAATGATCCAAAATAGCCACTTGAACCAGTTAACATTTGCTGCAGTTCTTTAAATCTTTGAGCTTAAGAAAAATTGGGATGAGAAAAATTCATAATTTGTATATAGTTAAATCTGTTAGTCTTTGAAGACTTTTTCCATCACATTTTAAAACATCTATTTCCATGTAATTATTTTAAATTTATTTAAATTTTAAAAATTATTTTAAAATCTACCAATCCTAATTCTCCTTTTATGGCAGGTTAAAAATATTAAGCTATTTTGCTGGCTCATTTTTATAAGTTATCCTTATAATAATTAAATCCCCACCTGATTTATATGGGTAATGGGATTTTTGAATGGGACTGTGTTAACGCTAACAAATACATTAATTTTAAAAATATAGTTTTCTGGGGGCGCCAGGGTGGCTCAGTGGGTTAAAGCCTCTGCCTTCGGCTCGGGTCATGATCCCAGGGTCCTGGGATGGAGCCCCGCGTCGGGCTCTCTGCTCAGTGGGGAGCCTGCTTCCCTTCCTCTCTCTCTCTCTCTGCCTGCCTCTCTGCCTACTTGTGATCTGTCTGTCAAATAATAAATAAATAAAATCTTTAAAAAAAATAAAAAATAAAAAAAATTTAAAAAAATTAAAAAAATATATAGTTTTCTAGTTAGACAGTAACTTGACATTCTACCTAAGTCTGTTTTTATGTCTCCTAATGAATTTTTGAAGTTTTCTTTCTATGTGTCCCATCGACTTCCCATTAAGTTTATCCTTAATTATTATTTTGTTTCTATCTAGAGTGAGATATTTTTCCATTACATTTTGTTACTTGTATATTATATGTATATCAGAAAACTGATTTTTAAAAATGTCTATTTTAGGTGTTACCATTATATTACTGTATCTCAGAAATTGAAAAATACAGAATTAACTCTTTGGGTTTTATAAGTTTTGGGGGATTTATTTAAATTTTCTCTAAATAATAATGCTTTTCTTTCCTTATATGTTCACTTTTGTGTCATACACCACTACACTAGTTAAATTTTTTCAAATAATGTTAGACAATATAGTGACAGTTGGCAATGTTATATTGTGGTTCCTATGCTTCTCGTGTTTCCGGATTTCCTAGTAGGTTGGATGCAGATACAAGATAAGCTACTTTATTTTATTACACAACTATGTTTGACATTACCAGAATGTTTTGTTTCAATAAACTTTATTTCTTAGAGAAGTTTTAGATTTACAGAAAAATTGAACAAAACGTACAGAGTTCCCATATACTACCCTTGTCAAGTTTTCCCTATTATTATTAACATCTTGCATTAGTGTGGTACATTTGTTACAACTGATTAACTGATATTGTGCACCATTACCACTTAAAGTACTATTACTACTTAAAGTCCATAGTTTACATTAGGGTTCACTCTGTGTGAACACAGACACTGTTGTGTGAGTTTTGAGAAATGCATAATATCATGTATCCATCACTACAGCACCATATAAAATAGTTTCACATCTCCCAAATTTCCATTTTCTACCTATTCATCCCTGGTCCTCTACCCCCAACACCTGGCAACCACTGTTCTTTTTTACTGTCTCTATAGTTTTGCCTTTTCCAGAATGTCATGTAGTTGGAATCATATGGTATTTAGACTTTATAGACTGACTTTTTTCACTTATCAGGATGCACTTCCTCTTTTTGTGGCTTAATAGCTCTTTTTATTGATGAGTAATATTTCATTGTATGGATGTACTACACTTTTTTTTATTATTTACCTTCTGAGGACATATCAGTTGCTTCTACTCTGGGCAACTATGAATAAAGCTGCTATAAACATTCATATGCAGCTTCTCGTGTAGGCGTTAAGTTTTCCACTCATTTTGGTAAATACCAAGGGCATGATTACTGGATCATAATGGTAAGAATGTGTTCAGCTTTGTAAACAACTGCCAAATTGTGTTACAAAGTTGCTGTACCATTTACATTCTGTATTACTACCAACAATGAATGAGAACTCCTATTATTCTAACAGGAATTTTGCTAACATTTGGTATTGTCAGTGCTTTTAGCCATTCATACAAGTGTGTAATGGTGTTATTGTTGTTTTAATTTGCAATTCTCTCTAATGACATATGATGATAAACATATTTCCTTATGCTTCTTTGCCATCTGTAGGTCTTTGGTGTATTGTCCGTTCAGATCTGTTGCCCATTTTTTAAATGGATTGTTTGTTTCCTTACTGTTAACTTTTAAGAATTCTTTCTATATGTTGCATACAAATCCTTTATTAGAAAAGCGTTTTGCAAATGTTTTCTCCCAGGCTGTCACATGTCTTTCAATCTCTTAACATGTCTTTCACAGAAGTTTTTAATTTTAATGAAATCCAACTTATCAATTTTCCATTCATGAATCATGCTTTTGAGGATGTATATAAAAAAGTCATTATCAAATCCAGGGTCAGTGGTAAAGAAGTTTCAGCTATACATTTTAATTTAGGTTTATAATCCATTTTGAGTTAATTTTTTTGAAAGGTACAAAGTCTTTGCCTAGATTCTTGTTTTTTGGATTTGCTTTTGTTTTTACATGAATACCTAGTTGTTTTAGAACTAGCTGTTGAAAAGTGTTGCCTTGGCAACTTTGTCAAAGATCAGCTGACTATATTTGTAGACTTCTATTTCTGGGCTCACCATTCTGTTCAAATTATCTATTTGTCTATTCCTACTACATTATCTTGAATACTATAGTGTTATATTAAGTTCTTCAAGTTGGATAATGTCAGTCCTCTGACTTTGTCCTTCTTCAATATTTGTTGGCTCTTCTGGGTCTTTTGCCTTTCCATAAGAACTTTAGAATTTTGTTATCAATATCCACAAAGTAACTTGCTAGTATTTTGACTGGAATTGCATTGGATCTATAGTTGTGACACCCTAACAATATTTACTCTTCCTATCCATTAACACGAAATATCTCTCCATTTATTTAGATCTTCTTTTATTTCTTTAATCAGTTTTGTAGTTTTCCTCACATATATTATGTGTACATTTTGTTAGATTCATACCTATTTCTTTTTTAATTTTTTTCTTTTTTAAAGATTTTGTTTATTTATTTATTTGTCAGAGAGAGAGAGAGAGAAAGAGTGCACAAGCAGGCAGAGTGGCAGGCAGAGGTGGAGAGAGAAGCAGGCTCCCTGCTGAGCAAAGAGCCCAATGCGGGACTCGATCCTAGGATGCTGGGATCATGACCTGAGCCGAAGGCACCGCTTAACCAACTGAGCCACCCAGGTGTCTCTCTTTTTTAATTTTTGATGCTAATGTAAATGCTGTTGTGTTTTAAATTTCAAATTCTAATTGCTTATTGCTGGTATATAGGAAATCAACTGACTTTTGTCTATCAGTCTTGTATCCTGATCCTGCAACCTTGTTGTAATTGCTTATTAGTTCCAGGAGTGGGTTTTTATTGGTCAATTGTTTGGGGTTTTCCACATAGTGAAAATACCTACTATCTTTGCTACCGTTTTCTATTTGTTGCTCATTTCCTTTGTTTTTTTCTTTCTTTGTCTTCTGCTCTTTTTTAACTGTGAATTTTAATTGATTCCATTTTCTCTCATTTTATCATATCATTTACACTTCTTTTAAAAGAATTTTAGTGGTTTCTATAGAGTTTGCAATGTATATTTATAGTTAATCCAAGTTAAATCACTGTATCTATCCATAAGGTATGAGATTAAATATACTGCTGTGATTATTTTGCACAAACTACCTATTCTAGTAATTAAGAAAAAAAAAGATTTGATATTACTTTTATGTATTCCTTCTAAAGTTCTTCCTTTCTTCTCTCCTAGATTCTCATCTATATCACTTTCTTCCTCTCTGAAGAATTTCATTTAACATTTTTTACAAGGCTGGTCTACTAGTGACAAATTCTGTCAGTTTTTGCTTGTTTGGGAAAGTTTATTTCTACTTCACTTTTAAATTCCCAGTCTGAAATTTCAAAATCTCTGCTATATCTAAGTCTGTTCCTGATGCTTGCTTTGTCTCTTCAGACTGTTTTTCCCCTTTTAGCATGCCCTGTAATTTTTTTGTTGAAATTCAAACATGGTATATAAGGTAAAAGGGTCTGAGGTAAATAGGCCTTCAGTAGTATAAGGTTGTAAATTACCTGTTTGGGAACTAGGCCATGTTTACTGTTTGCTGCACTATGGTGTCAGAAGCTAAATTTCCTGCTAGTGTCATTGTTTTTGTCTTGTCTGTTGTCTTTAAGGCTTTCCCAGAGAAGTCTTAAATAGGGTTTGGGTCTGCAGTTCTTTTAGCTGTAATCCCCAGTTGTTATACAGGAGCCCTATTCATCTGATGGTAAGTTTCAAGAGGGGTAGAATCACTCTATAGTTTCATAATTAGGTCTCAGTCTTTTAGTGAGCCTGAGTGGGGGTATTTTCTTTCCCCCATGTCCGAGACTAGAAGCATCTAGGGTTGGGGAATTGCTCTTCTCCCAAGTTCAGTAACTTTTTGCTTTGGCAAAAACCCAAATCAGTTGGTCTCAGATAAACCGATTTCCCTTGAGGGCAAGCTTTGTTAAGGAGAACAGAGTGTTCTGAGTATATTTCAAAATGGTTACTTTTCCCATCCCACTGCTAGAAGAAAAAACATGTATGTCCCTGAACTTTACAGAGAGAACCTAGCAGGTCCTCTAGTGGTAAAACTGAGAGACATGTGGGGCCTTGCCTCGGACAGGGTTCCCTCTTGGTTTTTTAATATTTATGATAATCTAAATTGTGTCTTAAGCAATTTGTCAACTTTATATTGACAAATATAGTTAAATGTGTTCCTACCATTCAGCTATGGCCTTCTGCTTGTGGTAAGACGTGGTTCTCTACATCTTCCTGTCTCCCCAGTTTTCAGGCAACAGTTGGTTCTCTGACCTCAGTGATCTAAAAAGAGTTGTTGATTTTCAGTTTGCTCAGCTTTTTCTTTGTTGTAAGAAGGGGGATGACAGCTTCCAAGCTCCTTACAATTCAGACCAGAAACTACTTTACTACAATTTTTAACAAATCAAAAATAGTTGAATTTTATTGAGTATGTGTTTTTAGCATTTTTCCACTATATCTATAATATGTTATATTATAGATTTCTCAATATTAAGTAATTTTTGTCTTTTAGTAATTCTTCTTACACTTCATTTTTCTTTCATTTCATTCACTTAATTCTTTATACATGTATTTTAATTTTACTTGATTTTTTTGGTATTTATCTTTAGTTTTTTCTGAGGGTGCTATTTTTGTCTGATTTTAGTACTGTCAAAATTCTAATGAGACACTGATCTTTTATCTTTTCCTTCTAGAACTGTTGCCATTTTTTGTATCTTCATAAGTAATTCAATGTCCGGTTTTATCACATACTTTTAATTAATCTGAGAATCCTGCTGATCTTTCAAGGTAAGTGGAAGTGACTTCTAATATTCAACTGAGGAAGTGTACCTAGAAAATAATTTTTAAACTGGAGGGTAGAGTGTAAAGCAAATTTATCAAGAATTGATTTTTTTAGAAACTACAGCATTCCTCTCATATTCCTTTTTAAAGGCAGTGTCCAATGTTTAAAGATACCAAAAATATTTATTTGGATCAGCCAAAAACTTAGGAATCACTTTACATATAGAAATCAATCTCCTGTTGATTTTATATCTCCTTTTGAATCTTTTATATCTATCCACTTCTTTTCTCTGCTAATCAAAAACATTCTACCATCTCTTAATTGGATCACAACAGAAAGCAGGGCTTACCCACTCTTAGTCCCTTCCAATTTGAATGATCTCTACAAAACAATAATATGATCATAAAACTAGTCCTATCTCTTTAATGACATCCTTTTGTTTTTATGATAAAAATACAAATCCTTGGGATTAGGGCCCACAAAACTACATGTGTTGTCCCTGCTTCCTTTTCCAACCTCATCTTACACTTACATCCCACCTGACTCTCTGTGCCATTGCCGTGCTAGCCTTCTTTTAGATCTTCAAATAAATATGTGGAACTTCCTCTCAGTTCATGACTTCTCTCTGAAATAACCTCTCCCCATCTTTGCCTAAGTAATTACTATTCATCCTTCATATCCTAGCTCAAATGCTTCTCCTCTGGAAGACTTTCCTAAGTATAGTTTCTCTGTTATACATTCTTTTAGAATTGAATTCCTATACTTCACAGCATTTATTTCGGTTTGTAATTTTCCATTTATCTCCATGAAAATTCAATTAGTATATATTTCTATCATTAGACTGAAACCTCCATACTTACCAGTACATTCCAATGCAGATACTTAATAAATATTTGTTGATTGAATGAATGAATGGCCAACTATCTAAATCCCAGTATTTGCATTGCTATGAGCAAACTAATTTTGAAAAACTGGGGAGAAAGAGACAACTCTAATAGATGCTGACTATAGAAAAGATGTAGTCCTCTCTATTTTATTATTCTCAAAGTATAAATATGTTTCAGCATCACTTCTGTGTCCTTCATTTTACCAATTTACTTCTTTTCTTTTCTCTAATTTAACCAGGCAGCTCAAATATATGAAACAAAGCCCATGATATCCATTATGAACTGATTTATATTTTACCAGGCCCACTGACCCCAGTGACTTGAATGTTAATTTTTAGGTGCTGTTAAACTATTTAGTTGTTTATGCCTACAGTAACAAATCTTTTCTTATTTAAAGCCTGATATTGTCTTTGCTGCTGACCTAGATCTTTTGACATATTTTACTGAAATGTGTTCCTTACTAAGATTAAGTTAACTTCCATTGCATTTCCCTTCATCTAATATTACTGGCTAAGCGATTATGCTTTTTGTATATAACCTTTTGTCAATTCAGTTTAACAACCTGAACACTAAGTAGATCCAAGATGCTATGCATTACACCAGACAGGATTGCAAAGATGAGAGAAATGGTCTCTAACTTCAAAGAGCTAGAAATTTTTTCAAAGAGATATTTAAGTAAATAATGCTAAATAAAGTTGCATTATTTTTGGTCAAATAAGTATTAGGATTGGGATGGCAAGAGGTATAAAACAGGGAGAGAACCAAAAGGAGTTCAGTTTAATAAAATCAATACCATATCTAAAATTCTTCATTTGGAAAGAATTAGATATACAGTCAAATCTTTACTTTTTGCTTGGAAAGTTTATACCATAGGTTAAATATGTAAAGGAGGAAATGAATACCATTTGGTAAGAATACCTCTTTGTTACATTTTCCACTTGCTACTAGCTAAATGAATTATGCAAAGGCCACCTGTAAACCTTTGGGTCAATTAATAGATAAGATCAACCCACTAGAGTTTGAAAGACTATATTGTATTATAAATCTTACAAGCATGTTATAGCATATTACATCTGATACCATTAACCAGAAGAATGACTTCATAGGCAATAAAGAATAAGTTGTGAGAAAGTTGGTATGACAAAAATATTTCCTTTTCATAATCATTTTCCATGGAAATTTTATAATTGAATCACATTTATAAAATCATGATGTAAGTTTTTCATTATTGATATGCCAGAATTTCTATGTTTGTATATTTAGACCCATCAGATGTAGAGTTTGGCTCCTTTGCGAGGTACTTTATTACAGAGTTGGCCTCAAAAATATGATTCTGTGTGTCTGTGACAGTATAATATAGTCATTTAAGAACAGCAAGCCATTCACAAAGAAAATTTCTGCAAGCCAATAAAACAGAGCTATCATTGTTGAAAATAGAAATAGGTAAAATCTTAGCAGTTCCAGAAAAACAGGACCAAATCTGACTATATGAGACCCAGAAGGTACTAAAAACTATATTTCCAACAAAATATTTTCTGTATAATTAGGTGTCCATGATAAATGCTGCTTTCAAAAATGTACCAGCCACAGCACAAGGGGGCAATAATAGAAAAGTAAATGTATATTATGAGAAAAACACAATTAGAAATGTATAAAGATAAACTTACTGGTTCTCCTTCAAGTCCTCTTTCTCCTGTACTCCCAGGGGGTCCTTGTAAACCCTGAATAAACAAAGGCAAAATCTGAAGAAAAAGTGATGCTTGAAAATATTTTACTTTTCTTATTTCAGCTTTCCTTTACAATCCTCCCACCTAATTTTTCTGTCTACCTCTATTCTCTTTTCTTTTTGTGGTAAAATAGACATAACATAAAATACACCATTTTAACAGAGTTTAAATGTGTAGTTTTGTGGCATTAAGTACTTTTGCATTATTGCACTACTATCATCACTATCCATTTTCAAAACTTTTCATCTTCCCAGACTGAAATTCCATACCCATTAAATAACACCCTTTCCCCCTCCCTGGTTCCCCTGGCAACCACCATTCTGCATTCTCCCTCTAATTTGACTATTCCAGGTGCCCTAAATAAGTAGAGTTATGCTACATTTGTTCTTTTGTGCCTGGCTTATTTCACTTGGCATGATGTCTTCAAGTTTCACCAATATTGGAGAGGAGGAAGATGTCAGTAGAATAGGAGGATCCCAGACTCCCCTTGACCCCAAATACAACAAGGTCACTATCAAATCATCCTAAATACCCCAGAAATTGACCTGAATACTGACAGAACAAACTCCACAACTAAAGGGAGAGAAGAAGCCACACTGAAGGTAGGAAATGCAGAGACATGGTTTAGGGGGGAAGCAAGTCCTGAATGCTGTGAAAGGGAAGGAACTATGGTTGTGGAGAAGGGTGAGACAGAGGAGTACACAGGAGACTGCACAAAGAGAATGATTCCCCATAGCTATTGGCTTGGAAAATGAGAAGGGATGAATTTTGTGAGTTCTTGCAACCAGTGGGACTCAAATCCTAGTTTTAAAGTCTAGCAGGCTGGGGCACCTGGGTGGCTCAGTGGGTTAAAGCCTCTGCCTTCGGCTCAGGTCATGGTCCCAGTGTCCTGGGATCGAGCCCCACATTGGGCTCTCTGCTCTGTAGGGAGCCTGCTTCCACCTCTCTATCTGTCTGCCTCTCTGCCTACTTGTGATCTCTGTCTGTCAAATAAATAAATAAATAAATAAATAAAAAATAAATTCTAGCAGGCTTGGTTGGGATAGAGCCTAAAAGGCACTGTGCTACTCTTGGACAGAAGGCAGGCAAACAACCTGGGAGCATACAACATGAAAACAACAATCTGAAGAGTGCTTGGGGCACACAGCGGGGGAGATTATACACTCTTCATAGAGCAGATCCCTGAGAGGCAGTATTCAAGGACACCTCTAGGGGAACAAAGAAGCTAGCCAACACCATTTCCCTCCCCTGCCCCCAGTATAAATACAGCGTCATCTGCGGGAAGCAGTGCAACGCTGGCACTTGCTGCCTAAGGATGTGTTTACACTAAACCCCCCACACAGCATTCTGATGGAACTGACTGCCTTTCTCAGTCACACTTGCCTCAGTCCCAGCACGACAGCACATATCTCTGTTCATACCACATCTCCCAACCAGAGAGTTTGGCAAAGCCTCAGTTCTGGTCTCATTTCACAAGCAGACCAGAGCATACCTAGTTAAAACTCACCACATTCAGGCAAAGAACCAAACACTGTCCACATTAGACAAAAGGGGCCTCTGCAGATGGCTGGCCTGAAGGATAGAGCAGCCAAAGCACAATAGCAGAGGACATACAGCACACACTGGAGAAACTCCCTGAAGTGCCAGGCCCGGGTACGACATGACTTCTTTTTCATAAGGCCATTACTTTCAGAAACAGACGACATAACTGGCTTTTCTAACACAGGGAAGAAGGCAGAGATTTAGACAAAATGAGAAGACAAAGGAATTTATCCCAGATGAAAGAACAAGATAAAGTCATGGCATGAGATCTAAGCAAAACATATATAAATAACATTCCTGATGGAGAACTTAAAACAATGATCATAAGGATACTCACTGGACTTGAGAAAAGAATGGAAGACATCAGTGAGACCCTTATCACAGAGATAAAGTTAAAAAAAAATGAATCAGAGATGAAGAGTGCAATAAATGAGATTAGAAACATACTTGATGCAATGAATATCACTTTGGAAGAAGCAGAGGAACAAGTTAATGCCCTAGAAGACAAAATAATGGAAAGCAATGAAGTTGAACAAAAGAGAGAAAGAATTATGCAAAACAAGAATACAGTTATGGAACTCAGTGACTCCATCAAATAAATAACATTTGTATTACAGGAATCCCAGAAGAAGAAGAGAGAGAAAAGGGGGCAGAAAATTTATTTGGAGAAATAATAGCTGAAAACTTCCCTAATCTGGGGTAGGAAACAGACATCCAGATCTAGGTGGCACAGAGAACCCCCATCAAAATCAACAAAAGCAGGCCCACACCAAGACATATTGTAATTAAATTTGCAAAATTTAGTAATAAATAAAAAAAATCTTAAAAGGAGCAAGACAGAAGAAGTCTAATTTAAATTACAAGGGAAAATCCATAAGGCCAGCAGGAGATTTCTCAACAGAAATTTGGCAAGCAGGAAGAAAGAGGCATGATGTATTCAAAGTGTTGAATGGGAAAAATCTGAAGCCAAGAATACTCTACCTAGCAAGGCTATCATTCAGCATAGAAGGAGAGATAAAGAGTATTCTAAACAAATGAAAATGAAAGGAATTCATGACCACTAACCCAGCCCTGCAAGAACTATTTAAAGGGACTCTGAGTGAAAGTGAAAAACCAAAAGTCACAATATAAAGACAGGAAACACAAAATCAGTAAAAATGAATATTTCTGTAAAAAATTAGTCAAGGAACTCACAAAAAAGGAAACAAAATATAACAACATATACCTAAAACATGGGGAGGACAGAAGAAAAAAGGGTTTCAAACTTAAATTACCATCAACTTAATACAGACTTCTATATGCAGAAGAGGTTATTTATAAACCTAATGGTAATCATATATCAAAAACCAATAAGATTCATGCAAAGAACAAAAATAAAGAAATTCAAATATATCACTATCAATATATCAGCAAATGATGACAGAGAGGAAAGCAAGAGAGGATCAGAGAAAATCTCCAGAAACAATTACAAGACAAGTAATAAAATGACAATAATTATGTATTTACCAATAATTGCCTTGAATGTAAGTAGACTAAAGAATCAAAGACAGAGTGTCAGAATGGATAAAAAAAAAAAACACAACCAAAACAAAAAACAAACACCTACAGAGACTCATTTTAGACCTGAAGACACCTGCAGATTAAAAGTGAGGGAATAAAGAAATATTTATCATGCAAAAGGATGTTAAAAAAAGCCAAAGTAATAATACTTGGACACTACATGAACAAGTTAGACTTTAGAGCAAAGACTGTACCAAGAAACAAGGAAGGACACTATATAATCATAAAGGGGATAATCCAACAAGAAGATATAACAATTGTAAATATTTATGCACCTAAAGTGGGAGCACCTAAATATTTAAAAAGATAACAAAGATAAAGGAATTAATCAATAATAACACAGTAACAGTAAGAGACTTTTAACACCCCACTTACATCAATAGACAGATGATCTAAACAGAAAATCAATAAGCGAACAATGGCTTTGAATGACACACTAGACCAGATGGATTTAACAGATATATTCAGAACATTCCATTCTAAAACAACAGAATACACATTCTTTTCAAGTGCACATGGAACATTCTCCAGAATAGATCATGTATTAGGTCACAAAACAGGTCTCCACAAATACGAGAAAGATTCAAGTTATACCATGCACCTTTTCTGACCACAACAGTATGAGACTAGAAGTCAATTATAAGAAGAAATCTGGAAAATCAAATACATGGAGGTTAAAAAACATGCTACCAAACAATGAATGGGTCAGCCAGGGAATACAAGAAGAAATGAAAAGGTACATGGAAACAAATAAAAATGAAAACAGAATGGTCCAAAACCTTTGGGATGCAGTAAAAGCAGTCTTAAGAGGGAAGTGTTTAGCAATACAGGCCTACCTCAGGAAGGAAGAAACATCTCAAAAGAACACCCTAACCTTATACCTAAAGGAGTTAGAAAAAGAACGCCAAAGCCTAAAGCCAGCAGAAAGAAAGCAATAATAACGATCAGAGTAGAAATAAATGATATAGGAACTAAAAAGACAATAGAACAGATCGATGGAAACAGGAGCTGGTTCTTTGAAAAAGAAAAAAAATCAGTAAAACTGAAAAATCCCTAGCTAAATTTATCAAGAAGAAAAGAGAAAGGGCCCAAATAAATAAAATCACAAATGAGAAAGGAGAAATAACAACCAATACCACAGAAATACAAATAATTTATAAAAGAATATTATATAAACAATATGCCAGAAAATTAGACAATCTAAAAAATGGATAAATTCATAGAAAGAAATAAGCTATCAAAACTGAAACATGAAGATACAGAAAACTTGAACAGATCAGTAACCAGCAAAGAAATTGAATCAATAACCAAAAAGTCCCCCAAAGGTTTCACTTACTTGTGGAGCATAAGGAATAACATGGAGGACATTAGGAAAAGGAAAGGAAAAGTAAATTGGGGTAAAACAAAGGAGGAGATGAAGCTTGAGAGACTGTGTACTCTGAGAAACAAATAGGGTTCTGGAGGGAAGGGTGGTGGGGGGATGGGTAAGCCTGGTGGTGGGTATTAAGAAGGGCATGTATTGCATGGAGCACTGGGTGTGATGCATAAACAATGAATCTTGGAGCACTGAAAAAAATAAAAATAAAGATGTTAAAAAAAAAATCCCCCCAAAACTAACATCCAGGACCAGGTAGCTTCACAGCTGAACTCCACCAAACACTTAAAGAAGAGTTAATACCTATTCTTCTCAAACTATTCCAAAAAACAGATAAGGAATGAAAATCTCCAAATTTATTCTGTGAGGCCAGCATTACTCTGATACCAAAACCAGATAAAAACACTGTAAAAAAAGGAACTTTAGACCAATATTTCTGCTGAACATAGATGCAAAAATCCTCAACATAACACTAGCAAATCAAAACCAACAATACATTTTAAAAATCATTCACCAC